ACGTAGCGGCATGTCGACTCTTCGCCCTATGATTCTAAAGAAACAAAGTTTCACAAAGAGACCCCGCGTGGCCCAACCATGTAATGTACTGCTTTCGGTCCCCTTTATCCAAAGCAGCAAAAAGCTGAAACGCATAGACCCTGGAAAAAGACTGGAACAATTCTCTCTCTCCCCCCCTCTGTTGCCAGAGGTCCACTGAAGTTACGTGACGATGAGGGCAGCTGACAGGCTGTTTCTACCCCGGCCCCAATCCAATGTCTTTCGGATGAATTTCAGTGGACATCGCCACCTCACCTGAGCATCCCCACGATGAATCCAACTGATCCAAGAGTGCCACCACAGAGCTGGCAGGTCGAGAGCTGTCAACCCCACCTCCTGGATATATTACTTGTTCATCGGCGCCAACTCAACCTTTTTGCGGTCGTTGATTTGACCTCCACACATGAGCAAGAAAGTCTCCTTCTTGTTCTACATATACACCAACACACCTTCTTGTGTATTTGCCAGGGTGTACCTGTGAACAACAAGTCACCGGGATGATGTGCAGCTAACCCTCAATGACACTGGGTTCGTCGTGAGGCTGCTGAAGACTACACTCTGCTTCCCATCAGACTCCTTAGTCTAAGTTGAATCCAATGTTGTCTTGAGTGCCACCTGGCAATACTCGACAGTGTCTCGAAGCGTAGGGTTACCCATGGACTTCAATACCTTGTCATGGAAAGTGCTCTGTCGAGACGACTGACCTCGCATGACCCGACAACCAACAACTGGCGCATGACCCTTCGTTTTCGACTTCCAGGCCTGTCAGCCTCACGCCTTCCTCTCGCCTCAAGCACGCTTGGCTGTCCAGTCAGAACATGTTCTGTCAAAAAGCGAACTGCATCATAGCTATCAGGAGAAGAGGCGGTGCTAAAAATGGTGAATGCGCATTATCAACACACAGCACACCTCGAGTACTCTTCCCACTGCTGTCCTTCCTACCAATTCTTGGAACCATATATATTGTCTTACCAATTCCTGCGCGCCTCTTCCATTGGTCTCCGTGACCGAAAAAGTAGGCCAGGAGAAACATTGGGGTCTTCACAGTCTTCTAAAGGTCCCATTCTATTTTGTCACAGTCGGTCAGAGTCAACTTCTGCCTGAAAAAGTGCCCAAAGGCCTCCCCAACCCCCACATCCACTGGGCAGCCCAACTCCGACCAAAGGTGGAAAGCACAGGTCGCCAGCCTTGGGACTCTCCTGCGTGAGCGCAACCAGAAAGTCTCTCGCAATTGGCCAGCGATCCCAAGTGCAGCACTCCATTTTTCCCCTCAAACACTGCAGAATGCCACAGAATACTTCGTGACACCCTTGCAGACTGCAACCTATAGGGAGATGAACTATCCGACATAGCAGCCATAGTTGCGCTGCACCCGCGTAACTGGACGCGGTGTTTTCTCTTTCTCTCTGAAAGGGTTTCCAAAATCCGAGCAGCACCTTCCAAGAATAGGACGAGTTTCAAGAGCTCACTCAGAAACATGATGGTTCTATCACTGGCCTTGGCCCTGAATCCACCTTCTCACAGTCACAGGCGGCAATTCCTGCAGTTTGGCACGGTCTCAGCTCCAAAGCCCTGCTCAAGCTTCCTGATTTCTTTCGGAGCACCATTGCAGCTGACGTTCACATAGCAGTCCCCAGGGCTCCAACTGTGACGCACCTTGCAAATAGATGCTGGACCACTTTCCTTCCAGGGATGGATACTGAATTGGTTTTTGGCAAACATACCAACACGGATGGTCGAGATTCGAAGATCCGCACGGTTGTAGGTTGAGAGATCATGGAAAATACAGTGTGTATGTAAATATGTATATACATAAGTGTGTATTCTCCCTTGAAGGTTCCAGCATGCACTTGAATTTCAATTCAGCGACTTACAGGAATCCATCATTCCGGCTAAACGATTAGAATATACATATATACATTGATGTCTGGCCTGCAAAAAGCAGGTCCCGTGTCCTTGAAGGGGTTCTTGCACATATTCACCGTTGGCACCAGCGCCGGTGCGGTTTCTGTCTCAGACAGGACATCAAGATCCTCCTCCTGTTGCGGCAAGGAAAGCATGGATTTATGTGTAGCGTCCTTGCTCCTCGTAGCGATGCCAGGAGCCCCTAGTAGCTTCTTGTTCCTAGTAGTACGGCCAGGAGGTGCTAGTAGCGTCCTTGCTCCTAGTAGTAAGGTTATTCTGGTTGATACTCGCGGCTCCAAACCACAAGCTTGAGAAGCTACATTAGCTCAACTAAACGTGTTTGGCGGGCGCGTGCACTTCAGGCCAAGGGAAGTTCTTGCCGATTACTTTGGCCTTACTTGATCATGTACTGTGGGATGATAAGAAACTGCTCCAAAATCTCACAACTCGGCCTTCTCAGGCTCTTCCTCAACCTCTGGGACCTCAACAGGCTGGGTGGCTTGCTTTAATGTCTATGAGTTCCTCCTCATGGCTTACACTGGGATGGATGGCTCTTATCGAGGTATATCAACGAACCCATGTTATTGTTGCACTCTTGGTCAGCTTCAGTCAGCTTACTGCAAACGCAGTCAGTGAATACAGCCATGCTTTTGAAAACACAGAAGCTTTTCCAAAGGCCTCTTCGTCCTCCCATTCTAGCTCCGGCTCTGGCTCTGGCTGCTCCATCACCTCAAGGGACAGTCAATGGAATCCTTCTACCACAGGAGCCCGGGCTCACCGTGCCACAGAAGGAAAGGAGCCTTACAAAAACCGAAGAGGTGTACATATATATATATATATACATACATACATGCAGAGCAGAAAACACCCAAAACCTGCATGTTCTTGAATCCATTGGGCGCAGAAGATTAAACATCAACACAGATCTCCAAAAACAGATTTCATGGGCCAACCAGTTGTTCATGTCCTTTTGGGAATCAGTCCTCACCACACCTCGGGCTCCCGGAGCTGCTGGGGCTCCACAGGTCCCTCACCTTGGAGCCAAGGCCAAGACATCAACGTCCGCAGATCTGCACGCTGCTCCTGAGGCCGATCCGTCTCGGAAGAACACGAACTGAACAAAAACCAAGTGTGGATTCGCCAGCACGAGGTGGTTCTTCGCTAACTCATCACTGTTCACCGGCACCATTCACCCGCACTCCTCCTTACTGGTTGTCAATGACTCCAGGAGACTCATCGCTGCCTGCGAATTGTAGAGCCACGAACGCCTCCTTGGCGCCGGAGTCGACTCATCGGCTCGGCGGCCCGGAGTCGACTGAGAAACAGACCGGAGTCGACCGCTGGGCATGGGTGTGTCGTGGTGTGGGAAATGCGGTGTTTTCGCTCTCTCATGGACCACTAGTCACTAGAAGAAGGTCTCGATTGTCATGACGAGTCTCAGAAGTGCAACATTGCCAATCCCATTTTTAGTTGCACTTTTGTGTTCAAAGTGCCTTCCGTGCTGCAGGTAGTAAAGCGAGCGTCCCACCACTTCCTTCACTGCCTGTTTGATTGGCACGACGCCTTGGGCCAGATCCGTTTTCGGATTGATGGATTTATCTAGGCCAGCTTGCCCTCTGTCACAAATGGTCTTATGTTGCAGGATGTAGAATATGCCTTTCTCGTTCTGCAAGTTCCCCTCCGCCGTCGAACCATAGTCATTTCCTGGGTTGAAATAAGGTGGCACACCAGTTCCAATCTCTGCCAAAAGCAAGCCGACAGCAAAATCATCGAAGGTCCGTGTTGCCACCTGCACAACAGGTTCTTCGGTCGCATGGATTTTCTTTAAATAAAGCAAACTGGTGTGCTCTCGCTGAACAATGAAAACAACCTGAACTGCCCGTACCTTGTTTCCTGGCCAAACACTGCTGACGAGATTGTAGTACATGTTTGCAAGCGCTCCTGCTGCTCAGCTGTCACTGCCCCAAGAGTGTCAAAAACACGCATCAAAAGAAAGAAACTTGTAGCCTGTGCGTGTGAAAAAAGAACGGGTAGAGTGTGGTGTAGCAGGTCTGATCAATTCTACACTAGGGGACATGGAAATGGTGAGTGATCATCCTCTCCTCGCATCTACATCGACTCGGCATCCCAAGTTAATATAGCCACCACTGCAAGTGTCTTTGTTTTGACCAGACTTGCACAATTCCTCCCCTCAAAGTCTCTCGGCTGTAGTTTCCGCTCGTGCCCCTCTAGGACCTAGGAATGCACTAGGTGTGCTCCACAGCTGATTCACAGCCCCTTCAGTCCTCCTCGAGTATCACTGGTCAACATGGCCAGCCCAAAGTCAATGATTTTCAAGACACCACCTAGCCAGGAAAAAAAAAGAAAACATGCTCCGCGCGATCCTTGGAGTGCCTTCTCTCTTCCGTTGAGTGTATGTACAGTAGATGAAACGTGCCGTCCGCCGTCCCTGCAACGAGTGTTGGGGTGTTCAATGGTCAATTCTTCTAAGTTTTGTTGGTAATTGATGCTCCGCAGCTTCGCCTTCCAAGAAGGGCTTCGAAAGCATGATGTTGTCCGGCTTCAAGTCCTTGTGCACCACCCCACATCTCGCAAGCCATTGAGCTCCAGCCGCCAGCTGACCGAAGAGTTTCTTGGCAAGCGCTTCATCTGTTAGGAGTGCCTCAAGAACGGACTCGTTTCAACAAAGCCTTGGTTGATGTTCTCCCCCCAATCAGGCGTATCCACATTGTAGAACTAATCTTGAACTCAAAATGAACAACCTTGGCATATTTGTCCAATGCGAAGCGGATACTAAACAACTAAATCCTTTTGCAACATTTGGCGACACGGAAAACAGTGGGTCACTATTGTTATCAAGAAGCTCACAGAAGCTCTCCCAACGAAATGGCAAGGTACGTTTCCCAGCTTCGTGCGCACTCCACTCGAGGCTGTCTCCGCGGTGACTTTTTCGTAGAGAGTACCAGAAAGGCTACCGCCTGCAGCATGCTCCATAATCACGACACCTGCCACGAGTGGGAAAACCGCAAGTATTACAATGACTGGCATCCTCCACCCGGTCTTGGGTAAGGTCCCAATGCCCGGTCTTGGGGCGAAGAAGGCTGGCCGGTGACCCAGAGCGCGCCTATGATTTTCGAGAGCTTGAGCACTTCTATGTGCTGCACAACATTGGGATGTGGATATCCGTCGCAGCTCTGCATATGCTTCCAGATCTCAGCATCCAAACTTACTCACCCCTCTACAGGACCTGCCTTTGGATGCTGCCTGTTCAACCTCAACCACCTCCCTGTTGCTTCAAGGTGCAAGCAATGACCAATTCCGCTAGCAAAAGCAAGTCGACCAAACAAGTTGACAAGTTCATCCTCATTTCATCTTTGCTTGGACCCATCTGGCTTGGAAAAGGCACGCGGTACTCGGTGTGAAAGGACTCCAGCGACTCGGCCAGGCGGATGTCGATGAGTTTCGCCACCAAGAGCCTGAAGTCAATCTTGACAGCCTTGTGACAACTTGTTAGCGTGAAAAATACCTCTAATGGAAGATGATGGATTCTTATCGGAACACATTTATATTGGAAACCTGGTGGAACCTGAGACCACTGCCAGAACACCCCATTGTTCTTGTAGCCCTACGATGTCATCCCCATATGTTATTTTCACATACAATCAGCAACGGTCTCCCACCTGCCACTGTTCCGATCTGTGGCCTTGTAGACCCAGCCGTAAGCCCCATGGCCCAATAAGCCCCCAAGCACATAGCTGCCATGGTCACCTGGTCCGCTCCAGGCGCTCACCGTTTCGCAAGATTCAGAGTGCTCTCTTGATACAAACTGCGAACCAAAAGCCTAGATTGTGACTATCTCATTGGACACCATGCAATATATTAATCAGCTTGCTCCGAGGAACCGTTGACCACCTTCTTCTGCGCCGCTTGGATACTGAAGTAGGGATTTGTTGCGTCCAACACATCGTCTAACTCCGCAGACTGTGAGATCCTGCAGGTGCATACCGTCAAGACAGGATCAACAGCAGGACCTTGCATCACCAACTTCACCCCACTTCAAGTGCTCAGATGCCACAGATCAAAATCTCCTTGTGGCTCTGGCGTAGAGCACGAACACCACAAAGGTCACCCAACAAAGCATCAAAAGGGTCGAAAATCCAGAGATTTCACAAACCAACGCGGGTCCAGCTAGGTGGATTTGCTTTCGCTTGAGCCCACAGAACCAGAAGAGAAACGATTTTCACTTGAACGCTGCAGGCCCCGGCTTCAGCTGGCGATTGTTGGTTGTGTCACCACTTCCACCATGGTGCCCCCCGCTGCGTCCTCGCCAGTGCGCACACCTCCAGTGTTGGGTGAGCAGGGGGAGCCAGTACCCAACCAGGCGGAAATGCAAATGTCAACCCAACCCCTAAAAAAGCTATCTTAGACACTTAAACCGTGGTTTTTCAACCCTACAAGGATCCAAAGAAAAAGACCCAGCTACGAGCCAAGAGAAAACATCCCGAGGTCTGGTTGCCAACTGCACTTGGCTCAAGACTCGGCCGCCCTCGCCTTGGAACACAACATGAGCTTGAAGGTGAACCGAGACGGGTGAGCCCTTGAGAAGACAGAAGTGAAAAACACTCCTCATTCTTACAGTGGTCGTAAAGCACCGCATTGCTCCGCCGTTTTGCTGGCACTCCTTTCCTTTGAATACCGAAAATGCAGCACCAGAAACTGCCGAAACCAAGCGTTCGGCCCATCTTTGCTCTTCTTGGCACCCTGTCGTGTGGTTTTCTCAGTCGTGGCTTCAATAGACGAAGAGATAGCTGCGATTTGCCCAAAAAAGGATTCCTGCAAGGACCTCCTACACAAGCCTTTCCTTCAAGGCAGGGACCACGTAGTGGCCACAACAAAAACCAGGCAAGGCTTGAAAGCAAGGCCTCTGCCCAGCCCCGGCGCGCCAGGCGCACACGAGGTGCAAGCGCCTCATGCGTCCAAAAAGGAACTACTTGGATCCAAGCATCAATTCTCAAACATGGGATAAGTCAGGAAAATCTGACCAAAGGGAGGACTAAGCCTCTTTAGGCTTTCCTTATTGAGACTTGAGAGCTATAACTCACTACCGAGGCGTCCACCAGAACTGCTTTGGCCTGTCAGCACACCAATGCAAATCTTGTGCAGGTGTACTTTCTCGCAGTGAAACGTGCATTCTAGATCAGCTCTGGACAATCTAGTCTCCATTGTAAAAACACCTTGACCCGTGCACTTTGGGCTGCAGACGCGTAGCACACATGGAACTTGGTTCTCTAAATGGTCCAAAAAATGGTTGTGTCTCATTTGCTGTTCCTTGGAAACCATGCGCAATCGCGGCTTTTGGTGCCATGCCAATCGCTGAAATGCCTCAAACCCTGCCTGTTCTGACGAGGGCAGCTGTACGAAGCCTTTCACCTCACAAATGGATCACAGCGTCAGTCTTCGCTACGCTGCGGTGACCGAAACGTTCGCTTTCCACCTCCCAGATGTTGCACGACGTGTCCACATGACTCAGCGAGTCCCCGAGCTATGCCAAAAAGGAGGTCAGCGCTATGCCCAAAGAGGGGGCACAAAGAGGGCCACCGGGCTGTGTTCTGCTTCTAGGTTGGAGGCCATCGCGGCCATCGCTATTAGGTTGGAGACCACGTTATTGTATTGTGTTTTTAAACAGGTGTGGGCTCAACTGTTGGTGTGGGTTCAACTGTTCAAATTCGAAGCAGACCAACAAACCTGGGCTCTCCAGCAAAGCGTTCGACCAGATCGATCTGTTTTTTCCTGCCCAGCTGCCAGTTTTTTGCATCGAAGTCTTGACGTTGCAGAAACTACATAGGGTATGATGGGGTCGCTGGACAAGCAAAGGAAAACAATATACATATCTATGTATATACCTGAGAAAGGAGAGGACGAAAGCCAGCGAGTGACAAATATGGTAGTGCAAGACTGGGGGGAAAAAATTGCGAAGCACTTATTGTTGAATGCCTGTAGCTGTCGTGGAGCTTGTATCAACGTGGAGTAGATCAAGATCGGAGCACAGCATGAAGTGTTGAATGTTTTGTGTTTTCTCGATTCTCCTGGCGCGGCGCTCTCTGGAGCGTCCCTGTTTGGTGGTCTATCTGAGAATCCGTGTAAAAATAAACGTCAGTGAAGACCAGGAGAAGGATGCCCGAATGGTGGTTTTTGCTTGCTTTGAAATGTGTTTCGGGCATCGTGCATCAATGCCAAGCCCTATAAAGAGCAGGGCTGGGAGAAAAAGAAGAGGAGAGCACTCATTCTTGAATGGTTGTAGTTTTCGTGGAGCTGGTAACACTGCGACGTAGATGAAAATCGGAAAGGATGAAATGATGAAGTGTTGAATGTTTTTAGTTTTCTTGATTTGCCTGGTGCGGCGCCTTCTAGAGCGTCCCTTGTTGGTGTTCTATTTGAGAATCCGTGCAAAAATAAACGTCAGTGAACACCAGGAGAATGATGCCCGAAATGGTTTCTGTGGTTGTATTGAAATGTGTTTCGGGTATCGTGCATCAATGCGAAGCCCTATAGAGAGCAGGGCCGGGAGGAAAAAATAGCAGAGCACCTATAGTTGAAAGCTTGTAGTTTCGTGGAGCTGGTATCATTGCGACTGAGATCAAGATCGGAGTCAAGGTTCGACCTCCCAAAAGTGGCCTCTGCGCGACCACCCCGCCCCACACCCCCTTTATTCACTTCGTTCACCCTAAAAACTCAAGCCTTGCCTATCGGCCCCCGCCTTGAGTTCACCCTCGCCCAACTGGACATACTCACATCGTTCGCTCCCGGAGCGTTCACTCTTTGTTGCTTGGTCCTTCTTGGCATGATCAGAGCTACACAGTCCCTATGCCCTGCTCAGGACTAGACAAATTGTCGCCAGACCCCTTCATGATGCTAATGATGCACTACTCGGTGTCATTTACATCACTTGCATCACCAAAACACTTTTTAGATGCTTTCCTGACCCTACTTTTGAACGCTCTCCCCCCACCAGGCTCAAGGTTCGACCTCCCAAAAGTGGCCTCTGCGCGACCACCCCCAACACCCCCTTTATTCACTTCGTTCACCCTTAAAACTCAAGCCTTGCCTATCGGCTGGCTTTCGTGATATATATATATATATACAATAATATACAAATATATAATATATATATATACACAGTCTAGTAGAATCCCACACGGTCAGCACACACTGGCACAATGTCCTGCTGATGAGGTAGAAGTCGCGAGACAGCCTCGGCTCGCGGCACTTCCTCTCTCTCGCATGACTTCCCACGTCCAACATCCAAAGAAGAACCAGCAACCCATAGGAAGGCCCAGACGAGAGATTTGATGAGATTCGGTCCCTTGCAGCGGATGCCGAACCCCCAGGGGCTCCCGCTTCCACAACAACGAAGTCTCATCGTCGATGCCTAGAGCACCGAGCAACGCAGATTGAAAGGGTGCAGAGTCCAAATCCGAAACGAACGCGCAAACGGCGAACGCAGCCTGCAAAGCGGAGTGAATCCATGTGAATCCAATTACCTACAAAGTGGAGAGAGGTGTCGCTCTTGTGAATTTAGGGTGTTTTGGGGCTTCCACATGGTGCAGGGTTTCTTCCATCAACAGTAGGAGGCAGCCTTGGAAATTCTTCTCTTCAACCCATGAAGGATGCTAGAATGGACGTCAGGCAAGCATCATTTGCTGAATTGTTCACCTTTTTTGGAATGGTATGCCAGAATCGCGACACCTAACATCATGCTTCTCCAAGATGATGCTCATGAGCGAGTCAAGTGCAGAGTGAGAGTGGAGTGTGAAAACCGAAAGCCAATGCCAGGCACAATGCACTTCAGACTAACCAGACCATTCAACCATGCGCACCTGGAACGAGTCTGAGGAGTGCTTGGTTTGTCCGGAAAGAGGCTGTTGCTTCAACCCTCCGCCACAGGTGGACTCCTGAGCATTCCGAACGATCAGCGGCTTTGGCCATCTTCCGTGCCAACTCCTCGCCAGCTTGGTGGCAGAGATGCGCCTTCCTCTTCCCAATCTGATTCACCCAGAGGGGCCGACCCAAACCACAGATTTTGTCCTCACATCGATCGAAACAGTGTGCGCAAATGGGACCGTGAGATGTGTTTTATCAGTGCTGTTCTCTTGCAAGCCAGTGAACCGCGGTTTGCTAGCGTCAGAAGACCTGGCATCTGCATTTACAGTGGGAGGCTTCAGTTGCTCACCTGGAAATGGACCCCAACGACCCCGGTCGAAAGCACAGCATGGCACTGCATGGTACTCCTCATCTTTGCATCTTAGGAGGCGCTCCTAAGCCGCAGCTTAGAGTGGAAAATCAGGAGTATCGTTTCGAGGCCGACTGCATAGGGTCCAAAGACTTTTGTATTCTCAAATATGCAAACACACTTCAAGTGGAGCCTACTCATCTGGTGTCATGCCGCTCGTCACACCGTCACCCTCAACCATGTCTTCGATCAGGCTCTGACTTCTCCAAGTTCTGGTGGCAAAAACAGAGGAAAACCTATGCCAAACCACGAGCCCTGACTTTTGTTGTGCCTGTTCGAGACATCTAGCATTGATGACCTCTAACAACCATTCTGGCAAACCAACGACCCCTCTTCTGGACCATGGCCAATGCTGCGTGTTGTTGAGTAATAAAGACTCGACCTTGTTTGAATGTCGGTACAAGAATAATTACCCTTCTTAAGGTCGCAGCAGCAACGTCTTTGGCTTCCTTGGCCCTCAATGCCTTTGCACGATTGCGGACCAAAGAGATGAGTGAATTCAAAGGCCATAAGGGAGAGGCAAGGCAACTATTGCAGAGGCGGTATGAGAATTGTTCTATGCTTGCAAATACAACATATAAGAATGTGGGCGAAAACAATTCTCCAGAAAGTCAATGTGAGTCCGAAGAGCAGTCTCTTCCAAAGAATGGACTGCAACAGTTGCCAGTATAAAGCCGATTGACTGCTACAGAGTGTTTCCCGGCAACACGTCAAATTAACCAAAAAATTACACCGGCATAACCAACTCCAAAAACAGAAGATACTGTTCCAGCATGTGTCTTGCCCCGATGAAAACAATATGATGCTGTGGTAAAGGTACGCGACGGTCTATCAAAAGTCTTTTGCCTAAAACCGTTGTTAGATCGGAATTCCATGCGTGCCGCTTCATTTGCCAAGAGAAAAATCAAGATATATGTGTATATATATATATGTATATGAATCTTGAGTTACTCTCACTGCTAGAGTCGCTGCTGGAACTTTCTCCACAGGTGTCAACATTGCCACACACTGAAAGTAAGGACGTTCAACTTGAGCCCCAAAAGGTGAGCAACTTAGAGAGGTCATCTGCGCGCACGTTTTGCTAGCGGATTGCTAGCGGCTACGCTAGCGACAATCACACCGCACAAAACCGAATACTTGTAGAACAAATCTGGAGCTTATACCATACCTTACCACACTGAGTCGCTCTAATAAACCATGTGGCAAGACTAATACTACTCACAACCTCAATCCCTCACAGCAATCTCAAACCTTGGGATAGCGGATAGCACTGCAGGGTTGAGCTTGTTCAAGAACAGTTCCAAAATAATGTAACGGAGGTTTTGATGCTGCTCACATGAAATTTGAAACGCATTCAAAACTAGCGGATTTGTTAGCACTGCCTTGCAGAATTACTGATTTTAGGTGCGCGCTGCCTCTGAAAAAATATGTATCCCGATGTAATTTACCACCCAGCTAAACTAAAGTGGCTGTACACAATTGAGGCGACTGGTCATGTGTGTGCAAAACGTATTCGCGCAAACAGAACAGTACAACAGGATGTTGTGGGGACAAATATATACGTACAAAAAGATGCACGCATGCAGTGCAACTCCTAGCTTTCACAAGCATCATGTGCAAGCTTTCCAGAATGGCAAGAACAACGCAGAGCAAGGCTAATCGAAAGACAACATGGCACTACTCTGGAGGCTCCCGCGTTCTCAAGCAGTGTTTGGATCAGACTCGCATTTCAACGAATGCGGCTATATTAGAATGGGAAAGATGCTACTCCAGCATATGTATTGCCCGATTAAAACAGTATGATGTTGCGCGTAAAAACATAGCACGCGTACAAAAACATGCGCGCAAGCAGTGGAAGGTGATGTTGCACGTGAACAGTCCAGTTTCCGGGCGTCACAGGCACCACGCGCAAGCGCTCAAACATAGCAAAAGCAAACCAGAAGCACGCTACTTGACAAACAACCACCACACTCTGCACCCACGTGTGTATGCATGCATGTATGCATGCATGCGTGTGTATAGTTGTATGAAGTGCGGGTATTGTAAAGTAATATTACGTAATGTAATGTACAGTAACGGCATGACCGAAGGAAGGAAGGAAGGAAGGAAGGAAGGAAGGAAGGACGGAAGGAAGGACGGACGGAAGGAAGGACGGAAGGACGGACGGAAGGAAGGACGGACGGAAGGAAGGACGGAAGGACGGACGGAAGGAAGGAAGGAATACACACAAACAGTGCAGCTCCCAGGCTTCACGAGCATCACGCACAAGCGCTTATACAAAGACGGAACAAGGCGTGCCAGGCTATTCGGAACACAACCACCCGCACCAGTACCCAGCACCGACACCCTGTCTTCAAAGGGTGCTCACAGCACCAGCACCAGCACCCAGCGCTGGCACGAAAACGCACACGGCCCAACATCTGGCAGCGGCACCCTGCAGCGGCATCAGCACCTAACCTCCAAAGCACACACAGGCACCTCTTCCTATACTTGAAGTACATAAGAACCCCAATAGCTCTCACTATATATCTGGGGAAAAACTAAACCTCCAAAGTCAACCAATGTGTGCCTGTGTGCCTCCCAAAACGTATGACTCTCATTACCCACTGATTTGGATGTCTCCCGGAGGTCTCCATCGATCATTGAAGCACACTTCGAGCTGATTGACTTTGCCTCCTGGACATCGCCGCGTGCCAGGGACTTCCGCGCTGCATGGCCCAACTCAAGGGCACTATAGCCGTTGAGACCTGAAAGATGCAGGGCGTTGTTTTAGATTTGGACTTGGGTCAGAAACGGTAACAATCTTCTTAAGCCCCGAAACATCTTTCACCCGAACCTTTTCGAAATATACAAAGCGATTTGATGACCCATGGTGACCCGGTGATAACTTCCTTTTGGAGTTGCCACATCGGGCTCCGGATACAGCAATGATCTGAGCTAGGAATCCACTGTAGCTGTTCTACCCTTTTTTCCGCTGTACACATGAAAGCAGGAGCTGTTTCTGGCAAGAATTGCTGCACAGGAACGACACCCTACAATCGCAGATTCGTTGTCGACAGTCTCTACATCAGTGCGGCAAAACGTATGGGTTTAACGTGCACACCTGGGAGTCTACCTCGCCTGAGCCACTCTGGGCATCTCACATGAGCGCAGCCCGGTACACCCCACAGGCGGCACACCCCATCCGGGTGCAGGGTGGGGCTGCTGACTTTCCGAGACACCCCACCTTTACCCGACTTGCCCTAAGACCCACAAGGTCGGTTCGAGTTGTAATTCTAGTTTTGTAGCTGTCTTTGGCACAAATATTCTATCAAGTTTCATGGTCAACTTCAAATTGAAACTAGGGAGATCTGCAGTCGGTCTTGGGGAACGGACTTGGACAGAAGCCCCCAGCCTTGTCTGGCCTCTAAGGCTTCTGTCAGTGCAAAATGGGCACTGTCTAAGACGTGCAAACAGAAAACGAGCTTAATAAACCAACTCGCAAGACTTTTCACAAATGGAGGAGAAGCTTTCAGGTTGTTCCTTGATTTTATATATATATATATATGTGCAAAGACAAGACCCGATTTAAAGAACCATCTGTTAGCAGTGCCGGTTAAAAAACGATCTAGCTCATGCAGGAGTCAGCGAGCTGCACTGGACTGGCCCCCTTTTGTCGGGGTACAAGGAGGAAGGGAAGGAAGCATGTCCTGTCTAGCTACGAGCAGCTAGGACCAACTTCAAAGTGCTTGTGAAGGTCTATGATATTCACTCACGCACATATTGCTATTGCCACATGAGTCAACAGTTGACAATAATCAATGGGTTCAAATCTATATTTCAAAAATAGATAGTAATACAGTACATAAATAAAAAACAAAAAAACAGCCAGTCACGGCTTTGACTTCTTCAAGACTCAGAAGACCTTCCGCCCTTTCCTCCTAGACCATCGCAGCATGAATTTCACCACTCCGCTCAGCTTCCTCGGCACTTCTTGCAGGTCAAGAGGTCGCGGACACCATCCCTCGGTGGTCACGAAAAAATGACCAGGTCGCATCCAAATGTTCCACTTTGGACTACTAAGAAGTGTTACGCGGTCGATACATTGGAAGCAAAAAGACATATTGAAAGGGGAGCCTTTGCATCTAAACACGAACACACGTATACTGCATGTGGTGGCCTTTGCGGAACGCCCGACGGAGAACTTATAATATACAATAATATACAGTATCTACAAAGGATCTTGGCCTAAGCAACTTGCCTTTGCGAAAACCAACTGGTGGGATCTGGGGAATTGTAGAACCCAGGCAAGGGGGCTTCGCATCCCTCAGCATACTGACAAAGCTGCGAGATTTGCCAAGATGCAGTTCCCTTTTCATCTAAAGCCTTACATAAACGCTCTGTCGTCTACGCCAGTTCGCAAATGGTTCAAAGGTGCAAATCAGTCACTAGCTGCCTCTTTTGCGGGATTCGAAAAGTCCTGCTCCAAACCTCCGAGTTTTCATAGAACCTTGTGTTCTGTCTCCCAAAACCTCCATATGTGCAGCACTTTGTCAAGGTCAGGCAGAAGCATTTTGTCAAGTCGCAAATTCCGTGGCAGTGGGAGCATGGGCATCAAAGTGCAGATGTTGCAGCAACTAAAGAGGTGCACTAGAGTCACTAGAGGAGCACAAATGGGCGAAATCCCATCACGAATTCTACGAATGCAAGGGCTCACCTCATAGGCGGTTTTCCTAGGGCTGTGCTTGGGGAATGGCGCTATTCCTTGTGTACAACATGACGCAACTACTTGACGACCAAAAACGGAAACTGGCCATATGCCTCATATGCCTCATATGCCTCATATGCCATAAGGCCATAAGGTCTCCCATCAAGACCACCCAACCCAACCCCCCACTGATCAGCTTGGGGCACTGGATGGCATCCCGGTTCCGTGCAAAGGCGATGGCCGCCAGGATGATGCCGACACCTTCAAGTCCAATGATGCCGAACAGCGTCAGAGAATACCTCGAGGTCCATTGACGGATTTTCGCGGCCCGGCGCGAGGTGAGGACGTTCGCCCTCGCCTTCCTTCGAGGACACGACGGTGGGTCAGGTCTTTATCACAAAGCAGATGTAGGCGAAATTCGGAAACATAGGAAGCTCCCAAAATGTGAATTTGTCAACATGTATCAACCTGACCTACCAACCTGGATGGTCGGTGGGGAGCCACACTGTCTGCAAAGAGAGGCGTCTCCCTGCTTACGGGATGGACATCGGGAAGGTCGCTCCCGCTGCCAAGTAGCATCTCACTGGAGCTGAAGTCAAACGCTTGCGAGACCTGCCGCGTGACTTTTCGGTCGGCCCTTCAAGTCGGGAAGACCTTTCACTTTTAATTGAGTACCAGCCCAAATAAAACTTGCACGTGTTCTTGAAGAGCGTACTGGGCGCGTCCAAGGCCTTTATATAGACCTCTTCTAAAGGCCGTTGCCCGTGTCCTGTTAAGGTGAGTGTTTAACCGCCCCTTCAATCTTTACCCCTCAGACGGTGCGCCTCAGAGGCAATTTTCCACGCCAACACAAAGGCACTCAAGGAGCCCGTGACCATCGGGAGAGTCCTTCCGAGCGCGGAACGGAAGTGCTAAGCTGCTACAAGCTGGGGAGTTCATGAAAAAGCAGTGCGCCAGGATTCTCCTTTTGACCACAGCAGAGAAGAGCATCTGAAGCAGTGCCAACAGGCCGTAGACAACCCATCTCCATGCATCTGCATTGTAGAATGGAATTTCCAAAACGAAGTGGATAGTGATGAAGAACGTCCTTGGTCGTGGAAGGCAAGAGATACCATATATATATATATATACATACAGTATATATAATATGTGTATAATGTATGTGTGTATATATAGTTACATAGTCTCATACACACCACGAGAGTCTGTCTTTGGCCAAGCTCCGGTGTTGGGTCACATGCTAAAACGCCTGAGTCTCCCACACACCCACGACCCCTGCAGCCCAGGTCTTGAGCTCTTCCAGCCACTCCTGGATGTACGAAGTACACGGAGAGAGGTGAGAGGGGATTGAAACCAGGATTGGATGAAGCCTAGCTGCGAAGAAAAAACAGCAATTTGCCTTACTCTCTGATTCCACAAGATGAAGCTGGAAAATCTTCTGGAAGTGTCACGTGAGCCAATGCCAGGAACGGCTGGCTGCCTTGCTACCGAGCTTCAGCCTGCTTTTCTACAGCCAAGGACCAAGCAACCAGAGCAATCCATTGCACTGAGGTATAGACCATGAAGAACCATTTCAGGAAGTTTTCAAAATCTGAGCAAAGATGGTGTGTGCTTGTTTATGGCATGTTCTTTGAAAGAAGACCCACGGTCGCTTGCCCTCTCTCTCTCTCTCTCAAATGATGCCCAAGGGTGAGGCAGTCAAATCTATTGAGCTCAGCAAGACTCCACACCTCGTCCTCCTTGATTGGGCTCTGGAGTGGCCAAGGCATAAGCCATCACAACCTCAGAGCGTTTTCACCCACGGAAGCCGCGCGGGGTCGGAGAATGGGCACACCCAGCTCCGAGTCTCTGGCAATCGCGACGATCCCTCCAAAGATGTTGAAGTAGAGGCCTGGCCTCGGCCAGTGCACCGACATTGGAGAATGTCACAGCCGAGAACCTGTCAATTCGTGGCATGGTACAAATCTGATAATATACCGCGTTTTTTGGGGTCAGATTCCCAATGAGTTTCTGTTCCAGATCCAACAAAGGACAAACCCAAAGAGCTTTGGTCTCATTTTGTCATTAAATCATTAGACATCTTGAAATCCTCGGCACTCCGGCATCTTTTTCAAGATAAGCACCGTGACGGACATGATGAGCATGGGCACTGCTGCCAAAAAGATAACCCCCCAAATGCTCGCACGAGAAGGTCCTCCGCAGCACGAAAGAAGCTTAGCTTTGCTTGGCAACTAGGCTGCTGAGCTGAGCTTCATGTGCATCCCAACAAATTGGTCAGGTTCTTTGGAAGAAACTTGGAAACCCACGCTACACTGCAACTACAAAGCTAACTGCGAATGTCCAGCCACCATCCAAACAGTCACCCTGCCTGGCAGCACTGAAGACACGCTTCCCAGGTCTCCGGTCCCACAGCCAGACTCCAAGCGCTTCAAGTCCCCCCACACCGCACAGGTGTCACCTGCCGTTCGCTTCGCAGCGAACGCCCAGCAGTTCCGCGGCGGGTCCCGTCGTGCCCCCGGCCAGTGGATTCCAGGGTCTTTTCTATTTGTCCGTTGGCGTCCATGTTCTTGTAAAGCCGGCGCGAACGGCGCGAAAACGCGCCTCGCACATCTCCGAAGGAGCTGGTCCCGTTCGTCGAGAAGATCGCCTGCAAATAGTTGTTCCACCCAGTGCAGGGATCAGAGCCTCAGTGCGACTGGAACCAAACCTCCGCGACGTTTCAACACATCTCGCCACCAGAAAACCTGAACCACGGTGTCTGAACGCTCAGGACGACCGGGCAAGACTCCAAGAACAGAATCGGTCAGAACACTTGGCAGTGCAATCTTGAAAAAAGCATGCAGAATTGGTTTCATACGTAGCAAACAAACTTGATGCCTCTCAGCATCTGTGCACGTTTTTCGGTTGCCCGCCAAGGCACATGTTAGGGTCACCTGCCACACTTGTTCTGGCTTTGGCGCTTTGAGGAATTCGCCACGGCCACAGAGTGACCACAAATATGCCCTTTTTCAGTCAAGCTACTGTAATGTCCGCGAAAGCCCTCTAGTGGAATTCAAACTCTATATGGGGAAAAAGGTTCATGCATTTGGATTTCAGGATGTTTCAGGAGTGTTGCCGAGTGGGAGGATCAGCAAAGCAGTATCGCAACTCCACAGGGCTGGAACTTTTCGACTCACTCTGTCTGCAAAAGATTCTCCTAGAAGTCTGGGGGTCACATTGCAAAGGAAACCTTGTCAATTCTGTGCAATTGTCGGCGATTGTCAACATGGATGGTACCTTCAGCATACGCCGAACCCACTCCCACCTTGTAGTAGAGCATGGCATCGCGATCATTGAAGATGCTCTCAATCTGTCGTCCTGATGAAGTCCCAGGGTGAAAGCTTGAAGACTTCCACTTCCGCGTTGTTTCAGCCTCTCTTCATTGCTTTTTCTCAAGTGAGTTCAAAACAATCTGGTCTAGCTTCGCTTGCAAAAAGCAAGCAGGTACTTCCCAGAAGATCCTTCCCCAGTTTCCGAACATGACTTGCTGCTCCTGTCGCAGACGCGACCAGCTCAGGAGTGTCAAGGCTGCTGGAGGAAATTCGGTACATGGACCTGGTCCGGGGCAGCAACCATTGAGCAACACGAGTCATTTGGACATTTGATCCACCCAAGCGAAGAGCTCTGGCCTCACCTCACTATCTTGGACACCCGTCGCACAAACACGAGTCTCACGTCGCGGCAGAGCAGCGCCTCTGCAGAGCAAAGTATAGCTCCGACCTGTAAAGGGAAAGGAAACAAGGATAGAGACCCAGACGGAGACGGACAACTTCTGAAATCGCGAGAGAGAGAGAGAGAGATGGATGTGTGTGTTTGTGTGTTTGGACACATATCGATTTCAACAATCAACCGGTAGGCAGGCTGCCGGTTGGCTGATGAGTCCAAGAACCGACATGCAAATTTGGAAGAAACTGCCTGAAGACGGTGTAGTGCTCTCCAACACCAATCTGGGATCCGACCTGCAAAGAGCGACAAGGAAAGCAGGGCTTAGGCCGCTCTTGTCCAACACATGATCAAAAAGTGAGTCTGGATTGTGGAAAGGCTTGGCCCGGCTTGGACAGTTCGTTCAGCACCCGACCTGCTTTCAACAAGTAAGTTGGCAAAGGCTTGGCCATTCAGTTCAAACGGAAAGAATCAGGACATCTAACGCCCTCAACTCCACACCTCACACCTTGCACCGAACAAGATTTCTGTAATCGACCCAACAGAATCTTGCCTAAGGCCTGACCTACAAGAAAAATGAAGCACGATACATGATAAATGCTGTCTTTACAGAAATATTGAAAAAGGAACATACTATCCACTAGTTGGACGTGCTCAAAGAGAACTGGCAAAAGATGCTTTATGCAGCTTCTTCAAAAGAACTTTCTTGTTGATCTTGTATTCTGGTTCTTTGGAAACCCAAGGACCACCATGCCTTTTTGCATCTGAGCCCTTGTCGGAAACCTCTTGAGACACTTTGCATACTTCCCTTGGTTTACCATGCTCCTCATTAATGCTAAAATGACAGCGATCTCACATTCTCCCAGCAGGTCAGAGGTGTTTGGTCTTGAGGGCACTTTCATGTGCTAGAGAAAGGCATAATCACAATTCACACAGTCTATTGGCTCAGCTCAGGCACTATACACAACATCAATGCGGGCAGAGTGCTGTTCAGCAGCCCTATCTTCCCCCCCTCTGACCACTTGGTATCGTGAAGACAGCTGCGGTCGATTCCCATAGTGCAACAACTTCGCAAGCACGCAATCTCCCACTGGTGCCTGAACCACAGTGCTCCCGGTGGTTCGCAGAATCCGGGACTGCCCCTGTGCATTTCGACCATTGAAGAATACGCTGCCTGCACATGCTGCCACTGGACATGAGACAACGAACGACAGACTAGACTCTGCTTCTCTTTCTGACTGCGGACTCAGCGCTTTCCTATCTATTCAAAACTCTACCTGGCGGTCATCGGCTAGTGCTGGGTGCCTCCAAATTCGATGTAGTTAGCATAGGAATTGGACCCGGCTGGGGAGGCCCAGGCACGCAACTCTGTCGTGGGATTATTCAGCAAGTCTGGCAGACCTGGAAGACACCGTCTGCAGTCGCTGCAGTCGTCGGCAAATCAAACAAGATCCGATTGAATCGGATCCGAAAGCTGTCTGCGGGAAGGGGCAGGGGCCCCAAGGCACAACTCCCAGAGACTCAGACAGCAACAAGGGAAGCAGATTTGGCTGGCTGAGGCGCCTTGATTGAATTCCCATTCATAGGTCCTTGTGCTCGGAGGGACTGGACCCGTGGTCACAGGAAACCCGCCTCAGATGATGTGCAGCCTACATAAGACATCGATCCACACAAGACTTTCTGGGGCCACAGGCTTCACTTCAAAAGGCTGCAATTGAAAGCTGCCACTGTCTCACTCTTCCGCACCCCAAGAAGGACTTGTCCGGACCCCAATAAGTGCTGTCACCAAGCTTCCAAGAGTATTGACCTCAGAGAGTCGTGAATGCAAAACCAATTGGCACAGCTTGGGCCACGCTCGGGGTGATTCATCGGAGGATCGACCGAAATGTGGATCTTTGACAGGTTTTTCAGAGCAAATTATTGAGATATGAATACCAGTCATGAAGTCATGAAAGAAAACAACATTGAGAAGTGTGTGCCAAAGGGAAACTGTTTCAACTTCATGATTGTCGACCAGCCACTGCGATGTATGCTCCAGAGATGAAGACAAACCAGCCTGCCAACACCCAGAGCAGGTTCACAAACTGCTTGTAGACAGGTCCGGACCTCCGATCGCAGCGTGCTGAAGTGTGACAAACTCCACACGGTCTTGTAAAGACGAGGATGAGATTGATGGGGTTGGTTGTGGGTTAAAACCCTGACATTATATAGGATCGTATTACTCTATACAACTAGAACAAAATGCAAAATATGCTGATGGTATTACGTATACTTTCTTATCTGTCTCTTCATGTTCTTCATCGGCAATCATTTGCTCCTTGGCTCTTGACCTGATTCAAAATCAAACAGGTAAGAAAATCAGTCTGATTCGATCTTACTGCGGCTCTCGTCGTGCAGAGTTAGAGAGTGACAATTCTTTGGCACTTTGCACTGCTTTCGCCATGGCAGCCTCTCCAGCCAAAACGCCAAACCAATCAGCAGGGCCACATACCTTTGTGCGCCGCGAAGTCACACGAACTGAGCATTCTCTGGCAGTCGTTCTTTCGGTGGTGGAAGAATGCAGGCCAAGGCACACCAAGCACACTCCAAGTCCAAAAATCCAAGAGATCGCGGTGGTGACGCCAACCATGCCCCATGCAGCCAGGTTCACGATGATAAAGCCTCTTGAAACGCTCAAATGTACCACAAAGGGGTCGACTCCTTCAAACCTGACTGCTTATCTTGATGAAACTCCATTAGTCCGTCATTGAACTGCCCAGCCTAACCATCCCAAAACGCCCACACCAACACTGGGCTCAGCCGTCTCCGTCTCCTTGGTGTCTCGGTCCTGAACACAAGGTCACAATTGCAATGTCGTCGAAGAATCAAAAAAGCTCCCTACTGCAATGTAGGCTCGAATTGAAATGTAGCACTGTCCAAATCATGTCGTAGTGAAATGGACCAGGAATTTATCCTGCACTATCAATTTCCGGCCCCACCGTCACGGCTGTCTCCACGTCGCCGGGTGCCGTCTGCGCCATTGAGCGTGATCTGCCGGCCTTGGGAGACTGGAGCCTGGTGGTTTGTTGGTCGGGCAATCAGGATTTGCCAGTGGAGATGCTGAATCTAAATATGATGTTGGAGGCCATCGCTAGTAGGTTGGAGGCCATCACTCTTGGAGGCCATCGCTCTGAGGGAGGCCTTTATCAATAACAGCATTTGTCCAGCTTACTACCCAGTGAAAACGTCTTGCCATTTGGTCGCTGTTGGACTAGCTCCCCGATCCACTTTTTACTTGCGAGCACGCAGTAAAAGAATAGTTTCTATGTCGGGAACCAGCAGCCTGCTAGCAAGAAAGGATGAAGAGATCGTTCAGAAGATCCTCCTAATTTTCGCGAATGAAACTCCAACTGCTCATTCCGCAGGATGATCCAGGCAAAACACCCTCATCTTGATCTGAAGCATTGAACAGAAAACACAAGCATGCACCATGAACCGAACATGGACAAGTCCAAAAGTAGTCCCCAGCTCTCAGGCGCCTGCCTGCCCTGTGTAGCAACACACTAAAGGCAAACGGCAGCGGCAGCGACGCGATGGGGGTCAAAGCTGTGGAATGCAAACAGTGGTTCACATGTGTGTGTGTGTGTGTGTCAATCAACCTCTTGAAACAAACAGAAGAGACTGGCCCTGCAGAAGTCCGCTCAGTGATTCCGACCTTCGGGCGATGCCATGGCTTCATGGAGTCAAATCTGCTGCGGCGGGCAGCACGCCCGCTGGGTTGACTTTCGGATTTGGTGTGGCACTTATCTCATGTGCTGTGACCAAGAGTCCGTTGACCTCGCTATGATCTTTGTATTCCAAAACATACCAAAAATGGGCTCCCCAACAGCTTCTTGTAAAGGCATGGATTGGACAGCAGCTGTATCGACCCTCTGAGGTGGCCAAACGAAACTTGTTCTTTGCGCTCAAAGCTGCAGATCGGACTCGTTCCATGAAGCCTCCCACCGAGTGAGATTCCTATAGCCGGATTCTTAAGTACTCCCACCAAATCTTGGAAATCATGAACCTGAAATCCTTGCTCCTCAAATCTCATGGTTCTTTTTCCGTCAGCTTCAGCTTCGCCGACCAAGTGATACTGGTGAGAGAGCCATCTGCGGTTTTGGGGAGGTCTTCCGCGCAGTAGTCCAAGAGCCTAGTATGACGAAAAAGGATTATTGAAGCCGTCATGGCCAAAAGGAAGAGGGAGAAGGACAACACAAGGTATGAAGAAAGAACAGGATGTAGGGGATTCAAGGCTCTAGTTCTAAGCAAGAGCAACTCGATGTTGAGTGCATCATTGTACAGGAGGCGAGCTGCCTCAATGGATCCTTTTTGAAGGGTCCTCTAAAGACCGAAGACCTTGGCATAGCTGTTCCTTGCTTCAGGTTCAGCTTTGCCAGGCAACACACGGATCAAATCAGATTCCAAGGCAGAAATCTTTGGCAACAGGTGCTTGCTTTGCAGCTAGCAGCTAGCCGTGCTTCCAAAGTATGCACCAAGCGCCCAACCACAACTTGGCGCGCTGTCTTTGTTTCTGGCTATTGGAAAGAGTGCCGGAAATGGCTGATTTTGCTCGCAGTTGGAACTGTAAAACCCCTAGAGCCTAGAGCTGTCTTTTCGCACCCAGACTGAGCAAAATCCACGACTGTCCACCTGTCCGGTCGAAGATCGGTGTCCAGTTCACACGCGAATATTTGGCGCTCTGGCAATCAGCCTAAGCTGAAAGAGCGCAAGCAACAAATGAACAGCACGAGTCTTGTGGAAAGTGGAATGAGCCAACCAAGGAAGAGCACAGGTGTCGACGACTATCAGAGCAAATGCACAACATCACCAAACTGGGCGTAGGATGCTCAAGCCGGCCAAATGGTGTGGCCTGCCTGCATAAAGCACCTGCTAAAAGCAGATTGCATTTGCTCCAAAATGGTCAAACATCCCATAACTTTGACTTGCTGCGGTCCAAGAAGCGCATGCATCAGCCGAGTCTTCGGCAGCTTGTGCGAGTCACCTAGCTGTTTTCCCTTCCCATCCGCAGAAAGGCTTTCTTTCGTCAAAGACAATAATCTTCGTGCGATTCGATCGGGGCTCCAAAAAAACACAAGCTTCCTTGCAAATCCAATGTCGGCCATCTTTGCATGAATCACAGCTTTCGCATGTCATTTGCAGAGAATTTGCAGGCATGCAGAAAGCATGTTTTGAATCTGTCAGGAAGCCAGTGCGTGGTCTGTGGGCCGTTGTCGAATCCCACTTGCTGGAAAGCAAAACCAGTGTTTCAACAAAGCGAGCCAAACTTACCATTCTTCCCCATGAATCAAAGGCACATCCTCAGTCCCTTAGACAATGACAAAACTGCTTTCACCACGAGTAGGCTTCAGCCAGGTCGCAATTCTGTGGGTAGCGAATCCTCGGTGATCAAACAAGGGCTGGAAGGGTCAGGCTTTCCAGCATGGTTTCATAGAGCTTCTATGTGTCCAACGGTTGGACACTGAAGTGGCATGCGCCAGTGAGAGACCCTTGTAGGCGATTCTGAAAGTACTATATAGGCTGTAATACGGTGTATATATAGGCTGAATTCTGCAAAGTTTCTATATAGTACTACTATATATATAGGCTGTAATCCTTATACCTACGCTCACTCTCAAGACATCATGGCGCTAAGGGAACATTTGACTACATGTGACAACCCAACGCATGTTATCATCCGGGGCTCTCATGAAGCTTCTGCCGGTTGTCCACCTTCTCCTCAGTACAGCAGCAAGCTACGCCGAGCTATTGTACCCGATGGATCCTGATCCAGAACCAACCAATCAAAAACCATCTGCCGCTGAGTTTCTTTCATCTCCTTGAGCTTCTTTCCCCAGTCAGACTCCTTAAACCACCTGAGCATCCACACTGTACACTTCCTGTTGTATCCCTTCTTCTGTTCCTTCCCCCTTTGCTTCAATGTTCCTCATAACGTCTGGCCTTTTGATGACTTGCCAGCAGAATACAACAGTCTAATACACAATGGTGCTGCATTAGTGAACATTGATGAGCGACATGTGCAAATCGCAGAGCAACAACAAACCCCACTGAAGGGCCAACAAAACAATCGAAAAGACTCGAAAAAACAACTGCGGAATTTGAACTCAAAAAGGCGTGAGAATGCACTATCACCTAAACAAAGCGATGGAGGGGTAGTTTTTAGTGATTTGCTCATGTTTTCATATCTGTTTTCAGCAGATTTGGTTTTTACTGTTTTCTGTTTTTGCTGTTTCTTTGCATTGTTTTTGTTGTGTTCCTTACTTTGCTGCTTTTCTGCTTTTGCTGCTTTTCCTCTGCATTGTTTTTGCTTTTGCTGCTTTGTTTTTTGACTCGGTTCGTTTTTGTTGCTTTGGTTGCTTTGCTGCTTTTCTGCTCTTGTTGTTCTGTTGATTTGAGTTGCTGTTTGGTCTACTGTGCTGCATTTGTTGCTGTTCAGTCTGCATTAATGCACAACTTGCACACACTCGTGTTTCATATATACTTTACACATTCGACAGAGAAGCTTCAATACGCTTTGCGCATATGTATGTCATGGTTGCTTTGCGGTCTTTGTGGGAAAAAAATTGAAGTACAGCACTGCTTACATGTGGTGCTCACAAGACGCAACAATGCAAAAATGTGGGTGAGAGCGAGGAGCCATTCCAAGGTAGCAGACCGTTTGCTAGCCACCCGAGGTTAAAATTTAGAGCATGAAGGGGTAATTCCAAGGTAGCAGACCTCTTGTGAACCACTTGTGGGTAAATTAAGAGAAGGTAGGAGCCATTCAACACAGCTGCCCATTTGCGAGCCACCTGATGGTGACACATTCCAAGGTAGCAAGCCTTTTGCGAGGCACCCGACGAAACATTTAGAGGAGGAAGGTGCCATTCCAACATAGCAGACCTTTTGTAAGCCACACGAGGGTGTAATTTAGAAGAGAAAGGTGCCATTCCAACAGAGGAGACCTTTTGTGAACCACCCGAGGGTAGAATTTAGAGGAGGAAGGTGCAATTCCAACATAGCAGACCTTTTGTAAGCCACCCGAGGGTAAAGTTTAGAAGGGGAAGGTGCCATTCCAACATAGCAGACCTTTTGTGAGCCACCCGCGGGTAAAACTTAGAAGAGGAAGGTGTCATTCCAATGTAGCAACATGCCTGTGTGCGCAAGTGAGTCGCAGCGTGGGCAAAGGGTTCATGCATGCGCTAGTGAGTTAGAGTAACTGTTGCGCGCAAGTGATGTTTTGGACATGGCCTCTTCATCATCAAGTAGGTGCATGGGAGCACACTGCCGATATCGCTTGCGCAAGTGAGGTGAGTTTTGCGTGCGCAAGTGAGATGCGAGCCAACCCCAACAAACACCAGGAAAAAACATGACGCAAGCAGCCGCGCACAGAAACATCCAAGCACACGCCCTTCTTCCAAACTCCCTCCAGCGCCACGAAAACCGCACTGAGAAAAGGTCGACCCCGCCCAACTGCACCGGACACCATTGCGAAATCTGCACTACTTCTTCCACCTTTGCTTGCTACGACGGCGGTTTCTCTTAAGTGTCAGCCCCGCTGCCGAAACTGTTCTCTTTCAAGCTCAGCCACTCACCTCACCTTGGTCTGCAGTTCCTTTCCCCAGGTTGCCGTAAATAGCAGCGAACTGTGAGCCCCAAGGATTTTGAAAAGTCCCCCCCACCGGAAAAATAAAGAACGAATTAAAAGTGCACCCCAAAGCAATTGGAGCGCTTCGAGAAGACTGAGATAAATTAAAAGAATCTTTTGGACTTAGGTCGACATGTTCCTCGCCCGCCGCAGTGGTCTGCCTCCCCGCCACAGCAGCTCTGAGGCGTTCGTCAAAGTCTTCGCTGTCCAAGGCGGGCTCTGAGGGTTCCATGCGCGAGGTGCCGTCGCCTGAGTCGTCTCGAAAAAGATGTTGCGAACGAATCCAACGTATCTGATTGAACTCACACAGAAACACACAGGGTGCATTGACAGTGCAAACTGCAAACAAGTCTGTTTGTTCCTCCAAACGACGGGCAGAAACGCGACCATCCCAACACTCAGATCTGGCACGAGGTGGTCGGTAGTTGAAGTCCTCGATGAGCAAGGGCCGCTGAAATGCATTCACCTGTTCAACAGGTCGACTCGAGATGCCCAACCATGCACTGTTTTCTTACTGTTTTCTAACCGGATCCAATCTGTACACACATCACATTGCAAGATGAAGGCCGCTTGCTGTGTCTGCTGTCCACATTTTGCGTCTCGGCTCTCTGCCCCACAAAGCTTCTTCTGTTTAGGCATTCTAGCAAGACCGCTGGCCCTTCCTCAATCAAAGGCTGAAGTGGAAAATGAGATGACAACTCTAGGCTGGGGAAGGTTGTTTCTGGAGCTGCTTATTCCACTTCTATCTTTGCCTGAACTGATTAAACACTTTGGGTCAAGCAATCTGCTCATTGTGAGAAAAATACTACACACATCTAAACACACTTCAAACTCTGTAGATCTTGCACATCTGGGCTCCAAGTAAGCCATTGAATTTCCAATCCTACCAGGCTCGTAAAGGCCTGATGATGAGAGTCTTCATGACTCAAGGGCGAGATGATGATTGCACAAGGGGCATCTGTGGTTCCCTGTCAGCAACCATCTCTTTACACAGGACTCATGAAAGTGATGCTTGCAAGGTAATCGTACAACTTGACTGCCTTGGCCGCAACTTGCATGCATATCATCGTGGCAAATTGAACATCCTCCGAAATTGGTGCCCTCTCGGTGTGCTTCAACCTTTTGTATGATGGCATCAACTGCGGCAGTCAGGTTTTTGCGCTGCGCAAAGACATCAAAAGCCCACTGCTGCAAGTCAGAGGGTTCTGTGCAAACCAGCAACTGCATCGAAAGAGACGATGCAAACTGTTGCTTCATATTCTCGTGATCTCTGTAGCCATTCACTTCGATGATCACATGTCCTTCTTGGATGGGATGTTCTTCATTCTGTTCATTCCACTCTTGCACCACCTCAGAGTCCGATAGATCTGTGATGACCATGCCCTCAATGTGTCGGTGAACGGCCAACTTAATGCCCCAAAGCTCCCCCTCACAAGAACGTTCAAGCACTGCTCCGTAGAGGGGCCACTGCGAAGGCTGACTTCGCGGATGGAGACTCGCGACGGTGATGGCCACGGGCTGCTTCATGGCAGCAGTTCCCATAGCTGACTTCAAACTAGAACCGTTGCACCACAAGCTCGTTAATATTTGAGCTGAAGCCGAGAGAACCGTGGCAGTGAAATGAAGAACAATGATTTGGCGACAAACCTGTTAGGGCATTTCAAAGTGCTGTTAAGATTGTACAGGATCAATGGCCCAATAAAAGCATCCGAGCACGAAGACATGCGTTGTGGACATGCTCTCCCTCAGCCTCAACTGCCCGCAAATGTTCCCATCGCTGATGTTCTTCGTGCTGCAGTTCCCGTCGCCGCTCGTCCTGAAAGCGTTTTCGAGAGGCGCAAGTTCCACCGAGCCACGCACTTGCAAATTGCACGCTACTAGGAGCAAGGACACTACTACACCGAATTGGCGGAATGGGCCCAAGCATCTCCCCCGAACACTGGATCAGTGGCTCCTGCTGCTGCCGAAGCATTTCAAAGCCCGCTTGCACCTGGCTGGTCACAAAATGATTGGCAGATGAGACGTCCACCGCTTGATTCGAAGCCAAAACAAACAACGGTGTTCTTCTGGGGGTTTACATGCACATCTTGTGCGTTGTAGATTGCGACATCCCAAATCACTATAATTATATATCATTATATATCTATAGATGGTATTACGAGTAGGACGCTATTAGGTGGAGGCCATCGCAAGTAGGTTGGAGGCCATCGCTACGAACGTAAAAAGAATCCATTCATCCAACCTCTCTTGTCTTCAATGCCGTGGTCAAGCGCCTATCCAAGACACCCACCTCTGAGAGCCGGAAGAGAGGCTCCCGGTCCTTCATCCTCTGTCTCATCTCAAGGACCTCCAAAAGAATAAATCCGCCCGCACCGAAGGTGCTCAGGGCGTGATCATCCGGATGGCATCAACAACTGTAAGGTCAGGTTTACCTGGGGGGGACCCTTTTCGAGGCCAAAACCGTGAGTTTTTGATAGGTCGCGACGGCGGTATTAAAAAATACTGTGTTGTACAGCACGGAATGGACTAGTTACCGTTTTCGCCCGCCTGGAATCGGCAAGATAAACGTTAAAAAACATTGAGTTTTTTGACATTTGGTCTTCGATTTTCGACTTCAAGACGTTCTTTTTTTCATGTCTCTTGTCGGGCGGCCGGGGCACCAGATTTTGCGATTTCGGAGCTGTTTGGGCGACAGTTTTCGCCGTTTTTGCTGGGCAAAAACATTGGTTTTTGCAGTGTTTTTGTAAATTGTCTAGGCTTGACGTCTTTGCACGAAAACGTAAAAAAACCTCGCAAATAGCAGCGTTTTTGGCGGCCACGTTGCTGAAAACGTCGCAAATTGCAGTGTTTTTTGACAGCAGGCTCAAAAACACTGTAAATAGCAGTGTGTTGGGCCACGGCAAGCTCAAAAACATCGATATTTACAGTGTGTTCTCCCTCGTAAAGCATAAAAACATTGAAAAATACAGTAAAAAGTGGTGCTTTTGGCCACGGCAAGCTCAAAAACGTCGATATTTGCAGTGGTTTCTGCCTCACAGAACGTAAAAACACTGTAAAATACGGTGCATAGTCGTGTTTTCGGCAACGTCTACGTCACAAACCTCGCTCCGCCAATCACGGTGCTTTGCCGAGATGGAAGAATCAAAGGGGCCATTCAACCAGCGCGTCAAACTTCCAGCTGCAGGTTGCTTAACTGCTTGAGACTCCATCTCGTAAGTTACGCATACCTGCTCTTCAAAAAAAATACTGGGATGTTCAACTCTTAACTGACTCATTACTCTTCATACCTGCTTTTGATCTCTCAGGGCCCTCTGCTCTCTTGCCGCTGATTGGAAGACTGTGGCTTAATGGAGGGGTTTGTAGAAACGGATTGGGGAGTTCAAGATTCTACGATGCCAATGTTTTGCATATATCTATTATTCTTTCGTGGCGGTGCGGGCGGACCTAGCCGCGCAGCGGCGTGAATCCGATCATCCCGTGACTAGTGACTAGGAACAAGAAGCTACTAGGAGCAAACGGCATCGCTACTAGGAGCAAGGACGCTACTAGGGGCTCCTGGCCTTACTACTAGGAGCAAGAAGCTACTAGTAGCAAGAAGCTGCTAGGAGCAAAGGGCATCGCTACTAGGAGCAAGGACGCTACTAGGGG